CGCATGCGTATGTCATGTAACGATAGAAAAATAGACCGATGATGAAACAGAAAAAAACGACTCAGATGTACTCGGCACGCCTGCATTTTGCATGTGTAATCACGGCCGACTCGTTGCATTTTCTCGTCAATCACCTGTTTAGCTTAGAGAGACTGCCTCACGGCTTGGCTGATTAAAAGAAATGTCACTGGAAAATAAAAATCTTTGTTTAAAAGGTAAGGGTTTAGTTGTAATCTGACGCATGTTTATTATGAGAGAATAACTTCCGTCTGAAATTAGATCACATGGATTGATCAGTAAAAGTTAACAGTTTGCAATGAAAGAAACTTACCTATTCTCGAAAAAGATGTCGGTCGCGGAAATCAAAAGGAATACACTAAGCGACAAGCCAAATATTGATATAACACAACATGATGAGAGACGTGTGTTATGCATCACGCAAGATTACGTCATAAATCAACAATGGCAAGAACATATGTAATCTGCGAAACATGACTGAATGAGAACCAAAGCTGATACGATACTTGACATAAAAAAAATCTTTGACAAGTTTACTGTTATAAAAAATATTCTTCTTTTAAAGGGCGGTAGTCGTCGCGCCACGCATGCGCGAGATATATGGGTCTCATATAAACAAAGATGGCGACGTTGACTGTTTCGCAGATCAACGAGTACAAACTGAGACGTTACCAAGCTTTAATTAGGTGTTTTTAGGTGACTAGGTATTGAAGGAATCACCGGCGTTAATTAGTGCAAGTCGCGCTCAGGTCAAATCTCGTACTTGTGATTCAATTAGAAGAGCGCACTGGATTATGGGAAAATCAATGTTTATCAACGCAAATGTCGCATGATTCGATTTTCAACAGAGTGAAAAATAAATAACTACAAGATTCAGTGAGGATAGATGTGCAAATTGTAATGATTTACTTCTGTAATGGTGCTGAATAAGAATACTACAATGCATCTAATGAATTTAATTGTATGTCACTAATAACATTACAACAATTAAAAATGACTGTGGGACAAGCCATGCAAACTCTCGTCGCTTACCGCAAAAAAGACATGACCCCCCACCTCCAGCTGTTTCCATCCTAGCTACAGAGAATATTTGCGTTCCGTGGGGTACTGGTTTAAACTCGGAATGAATTCTACATAGCATTACGCTACTGAAAAAGGTCATCACTTCGAATGATTTTTCTTATTCAATATAACTCTGTGGGATTTTTTTTTTTTTTTTTTTAAATAATCCAAAAGTCCATTGATATGGTAGTTGGGTATGTAAGATGGCGATAATTAAACCGCGTGCCATATAAAGACAAGGAAATCTGGTTGGGACAAAGGGGAAAGCTTACAAAGAATAGTTGGATTTCACCTGTGTGATTAGAATTTAATCGCCATGACAACGCCATTGGTGCATAAACCATTTCTTTTATTTACCTAAATACGCTTAACATGAGTGAAGTATAGACAACAACTGTTCTATTACCGCCCCCACTGGCTGCATTGAACTCCATATACACCGACTTGATTGAAATTGACATAATATGGGATGATCGTATTCCTCTCTTTCGAACTAACATAACATCTTACTGTTACCATGGCTACAAAGTCGCGAACATGTGCGGCACTCGGGCGGTATAAGCGAGTATAAATTTAATTCCACTACGTTTCTTTCTCGGAGTCGATTAATCTGAATTTATTTCGAAGTGCATTCAAGGGTGCAATTCATAGTAAATTGGGTTGCATGGAGAAGTGGACAGTAAGACTTTAACGCCGAGTAGTGCAGATTTTTGCGCGTATCTTCCCTTCGATCCGTCACTATGACGACGATACAAACAACACCAGTGTCTTCTAATATTCAGTTACTCATTTGCGCATAATAACATACTATTAAATCATCTACAGAAGACGATATACCAATAACAAATTATGTCAATTCCTATTTATGAGAAATTTTGAAAGATACAATAATGCGCAATCTTGTTTGTGACAGAAACAAATAAAATATAACCCTTATTACGTCATGATTTACTTATACAAAGTAGGAATTGAGATTCGGGCGCAGACCAGCTTATGTCACTACACAATAAAACATATTTGAGATTATTTCGAAGAGTTATGAGTTATATTTTTAATAAATAGTCTCACGTGGAGGGGTTGTTATAAGTGAGTGGCTCGTCTGGTTAATGTACAGAAAGTGATTGCATCGGGGAATGGGTAACTCGCGAGGCAGTGAGTAGTGCCGTGGGTTTGCTCGACACTTTATACGCACCATTCAGCCACAAATACACTAGTAGTAAAACATAGCCAGGTATTTATTGTAACTACAATCGTCACTGTATGCCCGGTTCTCTTCTCCCCTTATAATCGACATTGTTAATTGTTCAACCATTAGTCTTAATACTTTGCATGCGTTGTCATGACTGCACGTGACCGCAACATAAATGCAACTTGGTGACACCTTAGTGGTTACCTTATCGCACCTCCTAACATGCATTTCAACGCAGCTCTGGTCCACAGTCACAATCCATTCGGCAATCAACTGCAATTCAGTTATGTGACTAAGAATTGAATTCAGTTTTGTTTAATCGAAAATTTGACATTTAAAATTTATGAGTCGCAATGAACAAGATAAGTTCAAGTTACAATCGCATTTAACGCTAGAAGTATGATAATAAGCATAACCATTTCTATGAAAGGCGTCAGTACTCTATATTGTTTTTGTTTTGTAATTGTTTTCTTCTGATCTAGTAGTACAATGTACATTTCATTAAAGGAGAAAAACAAAAAGTGACGTTGAAATATTAAAGTGTAGAATTTTGTAAAAATAGTAATAGAAAATAATATTTCTTTGACATTATCTAATGTCATTTAAGGTAGAGATGCAGTTTACCTGACGATCATCGGTTCGAGTCACGCACGCAGAATTTACCTTGCCATGTACTAGCATTGTAAGCAGTCGTTACTTCGTGTGCGATATAACTTTTAAAATAAATCCAGATTTTGGATTAATTATTTAGACAAATCATGTACTCCGTCTTTATCAATACATATCTCCCGGTACGTCACAGTATAGAGACGATGAATAGCGAGTTTCCTTAGATTATTGTAAAAATAACCCGCAATTTATTCTTAAAATCACTTTGACGTAACTTTACTTTTCATAAGAATAACACACTAGAGACTTCGATGTATATATGGCCAAATAGACTATTTGTGGTTTCCAATTACGCATGCGCATTGATATTCACCGGTTTGTCAACTTCAACAAGTCTCGTTCTTAGTTGATTCACGGCGCACGCCGTCGGGACGTCAATAATAAATTGTACACAAAGCGTCTTTTTTATGAATATCGCAGAAAATATACCTGCAAATATATTGTAATTTAACATTACCAAACAGCCTTCTTGCTCACAAGTCTATTTATTTATTTATTTATTTATTTATTTATTTATTTATTTATTTATTTATTTATTTATTTATTTATTTATTTATTTATTTATTTATTTATTTATTTATTTATATATA